GGGTAGGGAGTATATGGGCATTGTCTGTACTTTCTGCTCACTTTTTTTCCAATCACCATTTATCTACCCATAGCCTCTTCCACCTCCACACACCCTCCTACACCTCCGCTCAATTTCAATGTGAACATACAACTGCTCTAAAAAGTAAAGTTTATTGCCCTGGCGGGTGTGACTCAGTGGTTAGAGCATCGGCCAGTGCACCCAAGGGTCTCAGATTTGATTCCTGGTCAAGGGCACATACCTGGGTTGCAGGTTCGATCTCTGCCCTGGTTGGGGTAAGGGAGGCAACCAATCAATGTGTCACTCTCACATTGATGTTTCTCTCTCTCCCCCTCTCCCCCTCCCTTCTACTCTCTCTAAAAATCAATGGGGAAAAAATATCCTCAGATGAGGATTAACTAAATAATAAAATAAAAAATGTTTATTAATTTTTAAAAAGATAAGATACCAAGAACAATATGCTTATACTTGAAAACTTAAACTAAGTGATTTCCTAGGGGGGAAAATAACTAAAAAAACGATCTCAAGAATAGAAATAGAAATAGAAGATGTCAATAGTCTAATAGCCATCAAAGAATTCAAAGCAGTAGTTAAAACTCTGCACAACAAAGAAACAAAAACCAGCACCAATACTCCCCCAAAAGCAGGCACAAATAGCTTTAGAGGTGAGCTCTACCAAACACCCCATCAATAAAACCATATAAACTCTTCCTGATAATAGGAGGAAATAAACTTATTTTATGAGGCCTAAAAGTCTTGAAACCAAAACTCTAGGCAAGAAAAGCAAGAGAAAGGAAAAAACACAAGCCGACTTCATTAATGAATAACATGATGGCATCTGCTGGGAGTGTGACTCACAGAAATCTGAGCACCTCATAAAAATTAGGACAGGTTAGCCATTAAGACAGATTATCCACTGTTGGAAGATTTTATTTCTCCAGACTGTTAAACTTAGACATGACCATATGACTTGCTTTGATTAAAAAAAAAGAAGCGAAAGTGACCTGGAATATTTCTGGACAGAAGCTCTAAGATCTAGTATATTTTTGCCATGGTTGCCAACAGTGAGTGTTCCAGATAGTGGATGTTCTGCCAGCCTGGATGCTGGAGTAAGGAAGATAACAATGCAGGACAGAATCCACAGCTAATCTAAAGTTGTTGACTCAAACAAAAGGCATGTTGTTTTAAACCACATAGATTTGAAAGTTGTTTGTCACTGCTAGGGTCTACCTATATTGATTGATATAGCCATGCAATGAGATACTTCACAGTTATTGACAAGAGTGAGTTAGCTACATGTACTGAGAAATGTGACGATGGTGTATTATGTGAAAAAAGCAAACTGCAGAAAAAATGTAGCATTTATCTTTGAAAATAATAAAGTTTTGAAAATAATACTTTTGACATAGACATCTTTCTTCTAAATGTAATTAGAGTAAAAGCTAGCCTCATGCAAATGGGAAAATTCTAGAAACATTCTCCTTAAGATCAGGAAGACAAAGTTATTCACTATTACTATTAATTAATATTCTGAACCTATGGCAATTAGAAAAAATGATAAAAACAATGAGAGAATTTAGTACAGTGGCTGGGTAAAAATATATACTGAAAATTAACATCATAACTTATTATTTTTAAAAAGGTCTTATTTCTTATTTTTATTGATTTTTAGAAAGAGAGAAAGGGAGAGAGACATAGAAAAACATTGATTTTGCCAGCTGGTGTGGCTCAGTGGTTGAGGGCCGACCCATGAACCTGGAGGTCACGGTTCTATTCCCAGTCAGGGCACATGCCCAGGTTGTGGTCTCCACCCCCGGTAGGGGGCCTGCAAAAGGCAACCAATCAGTGATTCTCTATCATCATTGATGTTTCCATCTCTCTCCCTCTCCCTTTCTCTCTCTGAAATCAATAAAAAATGTATTTTTTTAAAAAAACATCGATTTTGTTGTTTCACTTACTTATTCATTCATTGGTTGCTTCTTGTATGTGCCCCTTCTGGGGATCAAACCCCCCAACTTTGGCATATTGGGACAACACTCTAAGCAACTGAGCTACCTGGCCATGGCAAACCATAAATTACTTAATTACTTGAATGTGTTTTGGAATTACAACACTTTTTTTTATTTTTAGTTTAATTTCTTTATCATACACTGGTGGTTTTTTTTGGTTTCACGGAAGTGCTGGATGTTATGAGGCTTATATGGATAAAGATGGACAGCATTTAGCACAGAGCATGCAACATTGCTAAGTGCTTGATAAGTAGTCACTGCTATTATTTTTCATATTCTGGTTTGCCACATATTTGGAATTTTCAAAATATTACTTCTCTAATGTTTTCATTTCTTTGAAGTAGTAAAATAATCGTATTATTACAAAACATTTTGATACCAGTGAGGCTCACTGTGACTCAGGTGTCACAAGAAGTATCTACCTCAAGCTTGAAATAATAAGGTTCAGAGAATAGGGAAAGAAGGCTTATTGTGTCAAATCATAACTTGAGAGTATTATTAAATTATGAGAGTTCACCCTGGCCAGTGTAGGTCAGTTGGTTGGGTGCCCTGTGGTGCACTGAAAGGTTGCCAGTTCAATTCCTGATCAGGGCACATGCCAGGGTTTCCGGCTCAATCCCTGGTAGGGGGCATGCAGGAGGCAACTGATCTATGTTATACTCTCACATCCATGTTTCTCTCTCTTTCTTCCTCTCTCTAAAAATCAATTAACTATTTTTTTTTTAATTCTGAGAGTTCCATTTATGAGAAGGGGCCTCAGAAAGGACTTCTGTGATGGCAGTGTTTCTTCAAAGTCCCTTCTTTGAAGAAGGAATAGAAGAACCCTGAGTGTCTGGCTTGGAAGAAAGAAAACTCTTTTAGAATGGTGTGGCTTGGTAGTTTCCTTCCTGACTGAACATATAACGTGTCTCAACTAAAAACCCCACAGATCTCTTAGGACGAATTTGGACAATTCCATTAAAAAAAAAAAAAAAAAGCTATACACTCTCTTTACAATAGAATCTCTCAACTTTTGCACTGTTGACATTTGGGGCCAGATAATCAATTCTTTGTTGTGAGGGCTGTCCTGTATATTATAGGATCTTTAACAACATCCATGGCATCTACTCACTAGATGCCAGTAGCAGTGCTCCCAGTTGAGAACAAATACTGTAGATAACCACTCGGCACCAATACAATCACAAACACAACCAGACATTGAAACCCCACAGTATTGTTAGAAACCCCACAGTATCATTATCCAGATGGTCCAGGATATGCTGACGATCATTTTAAAAACTTATAATTGAAACAGAAAGACAAAATTGGGGGAAAAACTACTAGAAAAAGTGTGCCCTTCTCCCTTACCTCCAGTTTAAGAAACAACATAACAAACCTTAGTCCTGAAGGAATAGAACCATTTTCCCAGGCATCCTGTCCACAGCGCTATCTATCACCAGTAAGTAGCAGGACGGGGGCCAAAGTTGCAGTAAATCAACATACACAGCCTCACCATTAACACACTGCACTCAGGAGCTGTCTTCAGTCACAAACATAAAGCATTTAGATTCATTCTGTGTGAGGCCAAGGACCAGAACTAGGGCACAGGAAGCCGATTTCAACTCATTATAACGGAAAATGTTAAAGTAATGTATCAGACTGTAGTTAATGGAGAAAAAGATAACTTGATATAAACACAGAAGTGATATAAACAGCGCATACTTCGGTGCACAAGACCTCCTTTGACAAAACGCTAAGTTGCAAGGGACATCTGCTAATAACGCAGAAAATCTTATGCGATTTTTTCATTATTACCAATGGAACTCTATCCAGAAACAGGACTCTCTCAGACCTGAGACAGTCATGACCAGCCCTAGAGCTGCGTCGGTGCCTTCGGAACCAGCAGGGTCGTCAGGAAACACTCCCGCCCCAGAGAAGAACCTGAGCGAACTCCCCAGGTCGGCGCACATTGTCCTCCCCTACGGCGCCCCTCAGCCGGTCTCAGCCTCCTCCAGGAGGAACGAACTTCAACTCCCATCAGACAACGCGAGCCGAGGTGGGCGGGCCCTCGCCGCGCGTGGGCGGCCCTGGCCAATAACGACTGTCGTTACAGCGAACAGTTTGGCCGCGTTTGTAAAAGACCGCGGCAGGCGAAGAGAGAGGAGGTGAGGGCGGTCGTCAGCGTTGGGGCCCTAGGGCCGCGGGGTGCGGGGTGGGGGGCACAGGGCAGGTAAGGGGCCGTGTTCACAGAAAGCGGGGGCGGCGGTGGAACGGGTGTGGAGCCTGGAATCCCAAGCCAGAGCGTGTCCTAGGAGCAGGGTGCCCCCCAGGCTTTGCTTCTGCTTGGGCCTACTTAGAACCGGAAGTGAGCCCTCGCTCGGGGAGGATGCCGGGAAGCAGGCCTCGGTGGGGCGGGGGGCGTGCTGGGTCCTGGAATCGAGGCGGGGGGGTACCAGTGTTGAAGGCCTCTTTGCCAGACACGTTTCGCGTTTCTCCACTGGCCGGTCTGCGTCCTTCCGAGGCCGCGCAGGACTGAAGGAAACAGCCTGGACCGGGAGTTGGGAGTTCTGGCGTCTAGGCCTGCCCCTTCCTCTCACTTGTGGTTTGTCAAAGAATCCAGCAGCTCCCAACTCACCTTAGACTGTTTGGGGGCTATGAGACGTTCATCACAGCATTACTTTCTCTGAGTCAATTTCTTCACAGGTTCATGGTGTAATGTAAGAAACATCCAAACCTGTAAGAATTTGTATGTTTATTTGATCCAAACTGACAGTTTCCGGGAAGCAAAATCTCAATGGATTGAAAAAATGCTCTAGAGAGTAACAGTTTTGCACCTTATTTTATATGTTAGAATCAAAGATGAAGACATAAGGGCGTTCCATGAAACCCATTGGTGATAGATTAGGAAGGTGGGAGAAAGCAAAGGGGGAAATCTCTGGGGTTGGATAAAGCAGACACTTTTACAAAGGGAGGTACAGGATAGTTAACATGATAACAGTAACAATGAGGGGCTCTGGTCTCCTGCTGCTGTGACAGGTTGTTACCCTGAGGGGTCTGTAAAAAGGAAATTACCCCGCTATTCCAAAGGTATGCTATATGTAGATGCAAAAAAAAATAATAGGCTCAGTTAAGATAAAGATTGACCTTTGTCAAGGAAGATACTGGCCTAGGACATAACTACAGCCATGATTCGTTTTTAGTTAGGAATTTTACATTTCAGACCATTCTATGTGGTTACTTTAGTCTCTGATTTTGTAAGGCCTGCCATGCAGCTCCCCCTGAGCTTGTAAGGTTTAGTGTGTGACCCTTTTTCGTCCACAATGGTGAGCAATACATGAGTAAAAAAAGTAAACTTTTTAAAAAAAATTAAAAAGGGCATTAGTGGAAAAACTGCTGAAATCCAAATAAAGTCTATAGTAAATAGTGTTGTACCAATGTTCAAACCTTAGTTTTGCCCTGGCCAGTGTCGCTTGTTTGGTTGGAGTGGTGGCCACGGCACCAATTGATGTTTCTCTCTCACCCGCTCCCTTCCTCTCTAAAATCAAACCAAACCAAACCCTTAGTTTTGGCAAATGTCCCAGGGTTGTTAAGATGTTAACAGTTGGGAAAGTTGAGTGAAGAGTATACAGGAACCCTCTGTATTATCTTTGTACGCTTTCCATGAACCTAAAATTACTTCAAAATTAAAAGTTTTTTTAAAAAGAAATGTGCATTTGCAATTTTGAAAGATACTAACAAATTGCCCTCTACAGACCATGATCAAAAAAGTAAAAGAGCCTGGCCGGGCGTGGTTCAGCAGTTGAGCACGACCTAGGATCCAGGAGTTCGAGGTTCGATTCCCGGTCAGGGCACATGCCGGGGTTGCAGGCTCAATCCCCAGTCAGGGGCGTGCAGGAGGCAGCTGATTGATGACGACTGTCTCATCATTAATGTTTCTATCTCTCCCTTCCTCTCTCTGAAACCAATAAAGATGTATTTTTTTTAAAAAAAAAGTAAAAGAGAAAAATAAGAGGAAAGAGTGGAATTCTAATGATGATGCTAAAAACTGCAGCACCTTAAGGCTCCACATGTATGGCAAACCAGTTTCTTAATAAGCAAAGTTCTTTTTTCCACTTTAATGGTATGTTAAATCTTATCAGTGTAGTTCTTAGCTAAGCTCTTTCATATATATTAATGTTTTTTCTAGTTTGCAAATGAAAAACAACCTGAAGCTCAAAAGTTAAAAGTCTTAGCCTCAGAGATAATTGGTGGTAAAGGGCCAACGAAATCCTCCATCTTTTTACTTTTGGAACTACATTCTCTCCTAAGAACCCATGTTTAGCTGAATGAGGATACTTGCTAAAGAAATTTATTGACCTGGGAAGGAAATGCTGTGTAAACAGGTTAATGTCTCTAGATCAGTAGCTTTTAATGAGCGATGTTAGCCCACTGGAGGACATTTAGGAGTATCTGGAGACATTTTTGTTTTTTTACAACTTGAGGAGGAGGTGTTGATTGCTATTAGTATCTAGTGGGTAGAGCTCAGAGATACTACTAAATATCCTGCAATGCATAGGATACCCCTCTAACAACCAAAAATTATCCAGGCCTAAATGTCAGTAGTGCCAAGGTGGAGAAACCCTGCTATAGACCATATTTCAGAAAACTTTATTCACTCAGTGGATACTCAGCAAGCAAATATTACAGTTAGGGGATTAATTCATAGCACCAGTGAAAAGATGGGCATTCTTAGACTTATTTGTACCTTTCAGTTTGTTAATCAGTGGACTATAGAAGATGTGGAGGGAAATGGGGAAAAGCAATGCTAACAGCCTATTTCTAAATCACAAGCAGATTACTTTTTTAAAAAAAGCATTTAAAATACTGAACTAGTTAATAACATGCATGCTGAACTGATGTCTGTAACTTACTTTGAAATGCGTCAAAGTAGAAGGGATTGATGGATGGCAAGGGGGATGGATAAACATGTAATAAAGCAAACACAGTAAAATGTTAATTGTAGAATCTAGTGAGTGAGTACATGGAGGTTCACTGTATAATTGTACTTTTTTATATGTTTGAAAATGTTCCTAATGGAGGGAAATCAAAAGCAGAGATTTATACTCTTAACAGACACAAGGTTAGTGTAAACTGCATAGCTAATTTTCCTGGGTGACCTCAGGCAAGTTACTTAACTTTTAAATTTTCATCTGAAGAAGGGTTGTTGTTTGGCTTAAATAAGAGACTAATATTGTGAGGTTCAAATAAAATTATGAATGGGAAAGCACTTGGAAAAGCATAAAGCGCTCTAAAAATGTAAGGCATTAGTATTAGGAAGGATGAGTTTTTGACTGATTATATACCATGGCTCTAAGTGTTCTTGACAACTCTCTGTGTAATGCCATTAGCACTGTTTTGTTGCAATTAGAAATATAAAACAATAATTTCCATAACAATTTCTGTCAAATATTTCTCAAATATTTGTGAAATACTTAGATTTCTATTCTGAGAGGAAAGAATCATTCTCTCTTTGCATAACTTTATCATTTTTTCTTGTTTTATTTATAGACTGCCAACATTTCCACATAGGGAATCTTCTTTGTGAAACATTGGGCAGGAGCTTTGCCATTGACTGGCCAAGAAGGAAAATGTAGAATGTCTGCATTGTTACACTGTGGAGTCCAAACTTCAGAAGACTTTGAGTTAAGCAGTAACATTTACTCTGTAAATGATTATGTCTTCGCCTGTCCTCTGTGATCATCACAAACTAATGAAACATCTTTTTAGGTCTTATCAATTTAGGTCACACTGTTTTCTGGATGCTCTGGCAGCTGAAACAGGTAAGATTGGGCTGGGTGTTGTGAGGAAGGGTGGAAGGGAAAGAACTAACCTTTCCCATTCTCCAGTCCTTGCTCAAGTTAAACATCTGTGCATGTAAAGATAGGTTAACTAAATCTAGGTCGTTGTATAGGACAGGATTGAACCTAGAGAAATGCTTTAGTTGTTACAGTAGGATTTTAAAAAATACATAGAGATATGAAATGCACTGTTTCCTCCACTTTTGTTTTGTTTGAGGGTTTCAATTGATGTTGTGTTTGAGGGTGCAATTTGAAAATAGTAGATAGCTTCTTTATGTCTCACTTTCTGTACTAAATATCGTAAGTGATTTTTTTGTATTGTAAATCCTCGCCGGAGGATATTTTTTCTGTTGATTTTTAGAGAGAGTGGATAGGACGGGGGCGGGAGAGAGAGACAGACAGACAGACATCAATGTAAGAGAGACACATCAATTGATTGCCTTCTGCACATGCCTGGGCCAGGGATCGAGCCTTCAACCAAGGTACATGCCCCCCTGGCTGGAATCGAACCCTAGACCTTTCAGTGCATGGGCCAGTGCTCCACCACTGAGCCACACTGGCCAGGGCTGAATATCATAAGATATTTTAACTGCGTGTGTGTGTATTCATGCTGATGGGTTTATTGTCTTTTCTAGGGGCCTATGAAAAATGGAACCAAACTCTCTGAGGACTAAAGTCCCAGCTTTCTTATCTGATTTGGGAAAGGCCACATTGAGAGGAATTAGAAAGTGTCCCCGATGTGGCACATATAATGGAACCCGGGGACTGAGCTGTAAGAACAAGACATGTGGAACCATATTCCGCTATGGTGCACGGAAGCAGCCTAGTGTTGAAGCTGTCAAAATCATAACTGGCTCTGATCTGCAGGTCTACTCAGTGCGGCAAAGAGACCGGGGCCCTGATTACCGATGCTTTGTGGAGCTAGGTGTTTCAGAGACTACAATCCAGACAGTAGATGGGACGATCATCACTCAGCTGAGCTCTGGACGGTGTTATGTCCCCGCCTGCCTGAAAGCTTCCACCCAGGGTGTTGTGGAAAACCAATGCCAGCACATCAAGTTGGCAGTGAACTGCCAGGCAGAGGCCACCCCTCTGACTCTGAAGAGCTCAGTCCTGAATGCAATGCAGGCCTCCTCAGAAACCAAGCAAACCATCTGGCAGTTGGCCACAGAACCCACAGGTCCCCTTGTACAGAGAATTACTAAAAACATTTTGGTGGTGAAATGCAAGGCAAGCCAGAAGCATAGTTTGGGGTACTTGCATACATCCTTTGTGCAGAAAATCAGTGCCAAAAGCTTGCCTGAGCGCCGTTTCTTCTGCTCCTGCCAGACTCTGAAATCGCACAAGTCGAATGCCTCCAAGGATGAGGCAGCACAGAGATGCATTCATTTCTTTGCTTGCATCTGTGCCTTTGCCAGTGATGAAACATTGGCTCAGGAATTCTCAGACTTCCTAAATTTTGATTCCAGCGGTAGGTGGTATGATTGACACACTCTGTTTTTCTAAAATGACAATGAAAGAGTTCCACTGTCGGCATTTGGAAATTGTCCTAGCAAGCTTCAGAAGCAGTTGCTAGATAATTCAAATGAAAAGCATTTCTTCTTTTAATCCCAGTCAGCACTTGCATAAAAGTTGATTGGTTGGTTGGTTGGTTGGTTGAATTAATGATCAAGAGACTTGGACATTTTCATTGAGACAATGAATCTAGTAAAGTTAGCCTTGCTTTCACTTTTTTACCCTTCTACAGATGCCGTATGTTAATAAAAACAAAGAACAAAAAATTCCCTTTTATTTTGACTTGTTTGCTTGTTTCTTGTCTTTGAAGATGGAGAAAACAAGTACCTTGCTCAAAAGAAAACCTTTAAAGTTTCTGAAGCAAGTCTTTTGTTGTTAACATATTTTTACCTTGTAGATACTTTTTATTTTCATTTCCTTTTTTTTTAAGGTAATGAACTTTTTTTTTTTTTTTAAGAGTGGGAGAAAAGGAGAGAGAGAAAGAAACATCTGTGTGAGAGAGATACATTGATAGATTGCCTCCCATACTCGCCCCAACCAGGGATTGAACCTTCTACCTTCTGGTACATAGGATGACGTTCCAACCAACTAACCCACATGGGCCAGCGCTATTTTTATTTCTTATTAATCTTTAGTTGGCAGCAGCTCCCAACTTTTTAGTTTTACATTTCTCTGTTGAGCTGTCTATCAAGTTAACGTTGTACGAACAAAAACATGTTTTTGGCTGTCCTTTAAAGAAACTTTTTTTTTTTTGCAGATCCACAATCTTTTTTTAAAATTAAATTTATTGGGATGACATTTGTTAGTAACAACATATAAGTTTCAAGTATATAATTCTATGATATGTCATCTGTATATTGCATTGTGTGCTCACCACCCATTGTCTAGTCTCTCATATATATTTGACCCCCTTTACCCTCTTCATCATCCTTCCACCCCTTTACCATCTGTTAACCTTCAAACTGTTGTCTGTGTCTATGAGTTTGTTTGTTTGTTGTTGTTCTTTTTAATCCTCACCGGAGGATATTTTTTTTCATTGATTTTTAGAGAAAGTGGAAGGGAGAGGGAGAGAGAAACATCGACATGAGAGAGAGAGAGACATTGATTGGTTGCCTCCCACATGTGCTCGGACCAGGGCCAGGGATTGAACTTGAACATCCCCTTGACTGGGAATCGAACCCACGACACTTTGGTCCACAGTCCAAAGCTCTAACCACTGAGCAAAACTGGCCAGGGCTGTTTTGTTTTTTTTGTTGCCTTTTTTTTTTTTTTTAAATATATCTTTATTGACTTTAGAGAGAGGAAGGGAGAGGGAGGGAGGGAGCGAGAGAGAGAAACAGCAATGATGAGAGAGTCGTCAATGATTGGCTGCCTCCTGCACGCCCCCAGTTGAGGATCGAGCCCGCAGCCCTGCATGTGCCGTGACTGGGAATCAAACCACAATTTCCTGGATCCTAGGTCAATGCTCAACTCCTGAGCCACACCCAGCCGGGCTGTTTGTTGCTTTTTGTTTCATATCCCACATATGAGTAAAGTCATATGCTTTTTGTCTTTTTCCATCTGACTCATTTTGTTTAGCATGTTATTCTCAAGATCCATTCATGCTGTCACAAATGTCAGTATTTTAATCTTTCTTATGGCTGAGTAGTATTCCATTGTATATATGTACCATGTCTTCTTTATCCAGTCATCTTTTGAAGGACGCTTAGATTGCTTCCATGTCTTGGCTACTGTGAATATTGCTGCAATGAGCATAGGGGTACATATATCTTTATGAATAAATGTTTTCAATTTATTTGGGTAGATACCCAAAAGAGGGATTGCTGGGTAATATGGTAGCTCTATTCTTAATTTTTTGAGGAACCTCCATACTGTTTTCTATAGTGGCTGTTTCAGTTTTCATTCCCACCGGCAGTGTATGAGGGTTCTTTTTTCTCCATGTCCTCTCCAATACTTGTTATTTCTTGTATTATTGGTAATAGCCATTCTAACAGGTGTGAGGCAGTATGTCCTTGTTTGATTTGCATTTCAAAGGAACTTATTTTAATGCTGGCAATCACTCCATTGTTTGGGGATTTGGGTTTTTATAAATTAATTTTTCTCTAAGTAGAGGTTGATACTTCCTCTTGGATAGTAGTAATAATTTAGAAATCTGTTATATTTTAGGTCTTAAAGAGATTATTGTGCCCCAGTTGGGCTGCCCTTCAGAATCAACAGTATCAGCTTGTGAGTCTCCTCCGTCTAAGGCGAAGAAGAGGAAGAAGGAGGAAGTACCTGGTGAGAAGCTGTTTAGTTGGTTGGTTTGATGGTGTTGTCTTTAGAGATTGTTTTACTTGTTTCACTAAATCTCAGCAATTACAAGAAACAGTTTTTATGGTGGTTTTTTTCCTGAAAAAGTTTTACCCTTCATTAATGATTCTTTGTCCAGTCAATTTAAGTATTGGTTTTACTGACTAAATATAAGAATGAATCAAACTCAGCTCTTATTATTGAATATGTTTGTTCATCCCCTAAACAGTCAGACTAGTCTTACACCTTAACCTGCCTTAGGACAATGTTATGAGGTTTTCATCCATAGAGTAACTTGTGACAATAATTCATTATCTTTTCCACACTAATGTAGGAATATACATTTATATATATACATAAATATATATGTGTGTGTGTGTTTAACTAAAATAATACCATTGTCAGTTAATGACTCTTACAAATCAATATGAAAATGCTGAATTATCCTAGTAGATAAGTATCAAAAGACCTAGACTCTAAATACAGAGAACAAATTACCTGGTCCACAAATGTGGACCAAACTACAAACTCACTAGTGAACAGAGAAATGCAAAAATTTTAGAAATACAAAATTAAAATAAGATACTTTTTGCTACCAAATTAGCAAAGCTTTTTAAAATGATGAGACCACAGGCAAAGGTGAAATTCGGGCTCTCTGTCATGGCTAGTGTAAATTGCTATGATTATGAGTATAGGGAGTATTGCTAGAGGTGGGTCAGGTGATCATGCACAGGAGTTTTGGTGCTGGGAAGTTGGAGAAAGGTGGAGAAACAAAGTGACATCATTTTCATGTTTGTAAGAGATAATTCTGGCAGCAATGTAGAGCAGAGATTGTTGTTAAATGTCTACTTATTGGTTTTTCCCAGGAAAAATTAAAGTTCAAAAAATAAAGATCTTACCCTTTGATGCAGGAGTCCACTTCTAAATAATCATTTTTAAGGAAACAATCCTTGGTACAGGAAAAGCATTTTGTCTAGAGATGCTCATTTTATGGTTATTCATAATATTGAAAAATTAGAAACAACTAAGGGCCAACCACTAGGGATAGTTAAATGAACCATGATAAAACCACCTGCTAGACTATCAGACAACCATTAGAAATGATTATGTAGAATTTGGAGAAATGTTTAGGTCACTCAGGTAGCCAGATAAAGTACAAATGCTCAAACTTGACTTTCAGATAAACAGATGAATAATTTTTTAGTATATGCATCTCTCTTGCAATATTTGGAACATACTTACATTAAAAATTCCTTTGTTTGAAATTAAAATTTTTTTTTACTAAATCTCACAGTCCTGGTAAAATTACAGCTACTTAAAATCACAAAAACCAGCAAAATAGTCTATTCATAGAAAAAATGGAAGATAGTTCACCAGGAAATTAATAGTGATTGTCTGAGAGGTGGGAGCAGTGGGTGAATTTTTATTTCTTCCTTTTACTTCTGGTTCCCCCCAGTTTCCTACAAAGAGCTTCAGAAACTTAAAATGTTATATATAAAGGCTAATGCTAATTTAGAAATTATCAAAAACTTTTTATGTTTTAGATTTTTCAGAAATTAATACAGAATCTATTTATGTTCTACAGACATGTTATTAAACACTATAATGATTTATGGTTTAGGTGCACAGATCAACAGTTCACTGTTGCCTCAAGACACAGTGAGCAGTAATCTAAGGAAAAGTGGCCTGAAGAAACCTGTGGTTGCTTCTTCATTAAAAAGGCAGAGTAAGTTTCCCTGCTTCACAATAGGCTAAAAAGGTGGAAAATCATCTGAAAGAAGGTAAAAGCAGTAAATCCAAAAAAATGTTGCATGGTGTACCCCAAGGAATGCTAAGATAAACACTAGTAGGCACTGAGGCTGAAGTCTGTTCTGTCCCACTGGTCTCAAATTATGCTCAAAACCAAACTGCAGCCCTGGCCAGTGTTGCTCAGTGGTTAGAGCACCAGCCCTTGCACCAGATGGTTGCAGGTTCGATTTCCAGAGGTAAAGGGCATGTACCTGGGTTGCAGGTTCAATCCCCACCCTGGTCAGAGTGCATGTGGAGGCAGCCAATTGATGTGTCTCTCTCACATCAATGTTTCTCTCTCTCTCCCCCTTCCTCTCTCTCGTTCTTCCTCCCTTCTACTCTCTCTAAAACTCAATGGTAAAAATATCCTCGGGTGAGGATTAACAAAACAGAAAACAAACAAACAAAAAGAACAAATTATATCTTTAAATAACATGGAACAAAAATTACTGACATATTTTGGCAGAGGTATTTTGTACGATTTTTCCTATAAAAATATGGATATTTAAAGTTAAAGAAGAAATATGTTTTATAATTATTCAGTGATAAATATTTGTTGACAAAGGCAAATATAGTCTGTTCTCTGCAGTTAGTAAAGTTTGAAAACATACCTAAAAACAATAGCATGATTATCATTCTGAATTTATGAAGACAGAATGACTTAATTTGAACATAACATATATTTATATATATCACTTTTCTAGCAAGAATAATTAATCTCAGACATTTGAGGAATCAACCTTTTCTTAAACTTTTTATACATTCTGGAAAAATAGTTTAGTTCGATTTTGGTAGTATTTATTGAATACTTGCTATGATATTGTTGGTCATATAATATGGCTGGGTGATTAAAAACTATACATCATCCTGCCCTCATACTCTGATTTGGAAGACCAATACATAAATATAAAATAAGACCAAATCTTAGTGAACTAATTAAGAACTTACACATTACAGGAATAAATGTCTTTGGAAGGCAATAAATAAACAGATCAACTGTATCAGGTCTAAGATTTTCAACAAATTTTCATCACTTCCTTTGACACAAAGAAGAAAGAAAATAGCTTTTAATCTAAATTATCACTGTATGCATTTACCTATGAGAATTTTAATTTCAAATGGATAGTAGTTATGGCATTGGTATCTCTCTGTAGAAGAGAATGTACTTCAGACATGTGAAGACATTTCAGGAGAAGAAATAGAATAGAATGTCTCTGTGAATAGAGAAATGTTAATCAGAAATAGGGCCAATTTATAGATCTCTAAAACAGCCATTATACAAAGCCATTCTTCAATGTGCAGTTTAGTGTTGAAAGGCTGCAGACTTCCTGTGGTTACTAATCGTGAACCTATTAGTATCTCAGAGCTTTTCATGTCTTTTTTCCTAAATGGATTCTTAAAAAAAAAAATCCTAGAATCTTCCATTTCACTTAATTTCTTTGAATTTCAGCTTCTTGTTCTTTTATCTGTACAAACTCCTTAACTTTTCAAACTTCAATTAACTATTTTGTAAGAAAAAATAAGTTACTAAAGCGTTTTTTGTTTTTCGTAGTCTGCGGTCAGCTGTTAGATGAGGCACAAGTGACCTTATCTTTCCAAGACTGGCTGGCCAGTGTCACAGAACGCATCCATCAAACCATGCACTATCAGTTTGATGGTAAGTATTAGTCCCACAACTGGGCTCTTGCTGCAAGTAGGAGAAATTAAAGTAATTGTGCTAGAGTTCTCTGTTTTGGTAGGAAAAGTAAGTGGGCTTGACTCCAGAGTACATTGGGCCACAAAAAGTAGAATTCTAAGTGAAAGAAAGTAATACTTTATTTCAATGCAGGATCAGCAAAATGAATTTAGAAATGGAAGAGGAAAAACACAGCAAATAATAAAGCTTAGGGTAGATAGCTTTGACCTGGGGGGAGGGGTGTTTGGTGAAGGATATATCAGAGCCTTAGAAGATCGTTGTAACTCTCAAACTTAAAATTGAAGCAAGAGGGCAGAAAGTTTAGAGAAAATCTAAACATGTGAGACAAAAAGTTACATAATATTACATAGACATGCTACAGAATATTGGAGAACACAGGCTAGGTATGATATATAGACTCATGGAACCTCAGCAATTTCAGAGGTGGACCATCCAGCCAGTCCTTTCCCATTGCTTTAAAAGCATCTTTGACAGATGGTTTTCCAGGCTTTGTCCAGTGATGAGGAGCTCACTGCTTTCCAAGGTAGTTCATAACATTGTTGGACAGTGATAGGTGTGAGGAAGTTCTTCCTCATGCTAAGTGGACATGTTTGCTTATAATACTTCCTATTGGTTCTTGTTCTGTACTCTAGCCACATGGAATAGGTCTGTTCCTGTTTCTGAAAAACAGCCCTGCTACTGCACACACATCCATTGCCCTGCTTGACAGGTCTTCCCTTTTCTAAGTGTTACACCTTAGGTCTTCACATATTCCTCATGGCATATTTAGAGATCTCATATCATTTTGATGTTCTTTGATGATTATATTGCAGTTTTTGGATATCATTTTAAAAATAAAATGTACTCCAAACTGAATAGTAGCCTGATAGCAGATACTCAGTAAAAGAAGATGAGTGTTGAAGGATTAGAACAGTTATGACTTTATGTTGAGGAAAGGCACAAGAATGGAGGTCTTGAGATGGAGGTCATGCTTGTTTATATTAATTCAGAAAAAAATAAAACTTCAGAAGTTTTTAGAAAATAAACTAAGGAAGGTTAAACAGAGAATCTATGTTTTGCTTTAAAGATTTTATTTATTTATTGTTTGAAATAATATAATAAATAACTAGTAACCCACATCCCAGAACAGAAAATAGAACATTGACAATGTAAGCTATACTATACACTGTGATCCTTTTCCATCTTATTCCTGTACCACCCCCTCACCATCTTCATTACCATCACCTTTGTCCAAGTCACCATCTCCTGGACTGTGAGTCTGTCTCTTTTATGAGGGCTTTTCAAGATTAATTTGTAAGCCTAAGCTGTAGCCTCACATCAGCTGAGTTCTGCTGAATTAGCACTTTATTTATTTATTTATTTATTTATTTTTAAATATACCTTTATTGATTTCAGAGAGAGGTAAAGAGAGGGAGAGAGAGAGATAGAAACATCAATGATGAGAGAGTTGTCATTGATCTGCTGCCCCTGCACGCCCCCTGACTCGGGATCAAACCCCGATCTCCTGGATCCTAGGTTGATGCTCAACCACTGAGCCATGCCCAGCTGGGCTAGCACTTCTTTTAGAGCTGTTATGATCTCATATGTAGCCCATATTCTAATTTCAAGAAGAAAGATTTTAAAAGTCTTTCATCTGGTGACTTCTCTAAACTACCCAGATATTACTATTTTAGTGCTTCAAAAGGAGTGACAGTTTTGTCACTGAGATTCTGCATTCAATAAAGAGGGCAAAATCAATTGAAAGAACATAAAGTCTCTCTCTATGAATTCTAGAAGATCTTTCATTTTAATCTTCCTTCACTTTGTTCCAAAAAAACATCTGAGCTGTCTTTGAGAGTCTTCCTTTAAGAGACATTCTTTGAGTTGCATATTTATCCACGTGGTTCTGGATGTTTTCCCTTTGCTGGGACTAGGTAGCTCTTTGGACACAGCTTTTTTTTGTTTGCTTTTTGTTTTTTAAACCCTCACCCGAGGATATTTTTTCCATTGCTTTTCAGAGAGACTGGAAGCGGCAGAGAGAGAAAGAGAGAAACCTCGATATGAGAGAGACACATCGATTGGTTGCTTCCCACATGAGCCCCAACCTGGGCCAGGGATTAAACCTGCAGCCAAGGTACATGCCCTTGGCCAGAATGGAACTCGGGATGCTTCAGTCCATGGGCTGATGCTCTTAACCACTGAGCCAAACTGACTAGGGCACTGGACACATTTTTTTAAGAAAAACTCAGAACTCTTTCGACTACTACTTTGAACACTCTGTTGACTTTTGTTGACCTAGTGTCTTGTAAGTTTCTTTAAAAGGTTTTTTAAGTATTTGCAAACATTTTATCTGCCTGAGATCACATTCAGAGAGAAAGACTGGTGTTTATTGGATAGTGTCCTAATTTTGCGGTCTTTGGCATTCTTCATCCAAATCATCTGAGGGAGAGCATGTATGTACTTTGATTAGACATGAATGAATATAGCAAGTGCCTGGGGATAGTAAGCAGGAGTGAATCAAGTTTGCCTTCTCAACTCTGCTTCATTGTTCTCATCTTACTTCATATACTCTTTCAAGGAAAATATCTGTGTCATGGTGGTGTTTACAAAATTGGGGATTCAAAAGCTATCCTTGGTGGATAACAAGGGTCTGCTATATTTTTTATGATTTCAAGGGATCAAGAGTAGGGCTGATTGCCCTACCCAGTTTGGCTCAGTGGTTAGAGTGTTGTCCTGCAGACTGAAGGGTCCTCCTGGGTTTGATTCCGGCCAAGGGCACGTACCTCTTTGCAGGCTCAGACCCGGCCCTAGTTAGGATGTGTGTGGGAAGCAACCAGTCAATGTGTCTCTCTCACTGTCTCTTTCTCTCTCCCTTCCACTCTCTCTGAAAAGCAATGGAAAAAAATATCCTCAGGTGAGGATTTAAAAAAAAAGAGTAGGGCTGGTGACAGTGTTTAACTCATAAAGGTCAATGAAAACCTTCTTTTTGCCTCTGTATAAGAAAATCTTTTTATAAAGTATTTTTAGTCATTACTGTCCTTCAATTCCATTTCTTCCACCTCTCTCTACACATAAGAAAGTCCATTGAGTTTCTTTACATTTTTTTCCCCTTTGTTGTGTACATGAGTTTCTTTAAGTGAGTTTGTTTTTTTTTTACTTTGAAGTAGTTTTTTGGCTCATAAAACCTTTATATATATAAAAATACCCAAAACACTATGCAGTATTAAATCACAATTACATTTTTTACCAATTAAAACTACCCAAATTATACATTAAAAAAAAATCCTACACCCCTGGGCCATGTTGCTCAGTTGGTTGGGCTTTGTCCTGTGTACCAAAAAGTTGCTGGTTCAATTCCAGGTCAGGGCACATGCCCAGGTTGTGGGCTCAATCCCTGGTAAGGGGCATGCAGGAGGCAGCCGATCGATGTTTCTCTCTCCCTCTTCCTCTCTCTCTAAAAATCAATTAAAAAATACATTTTTTAAATCCTACAGAACTAAATTCTGAAGTGACATTATGACTTAAATACTATGACAAAATAGGTAATTCGTATAACATTAATTCACTGCACAAAGCTGCCAGATACTTTCATAATTATAATCATTGCAGAGTGCAAATGAACATAGTTTCAACGTTACACATTTAGTTGAAGAAACTGTGCCTCTGCCTAAGGAACTCTCAGATTTCTGGCACAAGAAGTTGGTCTGTTTTAACTGAATGAGTTTCTTCTTATTTCCTAAAGGCAAACCAGAGCCACTGGTGTTCCACATTCCTCAGTCCTTTTTTGATGCCCTACAACAGAGAATATCTATTGGAAGTACAAAAAAACGGCTTCCTAATTCCACCACAGGTATGGGATTTTTTTATGTCAGGAACAGCAGCAAATGTCTTGTCTGTAGAGAATTATGTTTAGAAAAATGGTGTGAAATTTTTAGGAGTAGGACTTTTAGCCAGATGCTGAGCTCATGAAGCCTTAGCCAGTCAGCTCTTGGAATAATGATCACACTCTTCAGTGTGACCCTGTACTTACTCCAGTGCAAGTTAATGGGACAATTCAGAAAGCACAAACTTGGTAAAAGAACAACAATGAAGTGCAGTGAAGGTGCCCACCAAGAAGTTTGATGTTTTCTAGAATCAATTTCAACAAAAGCATTGCAGGCTCCAATCATTTGGGCTGGCTTCTTGGAAGCATATTACAGTATGTATCAAAAACTAAAACTTGTTTTTTGTGATTTCCAATTTTTGACAAAGGGAGATTTCATTTTTAGAGTTATTCTTAGGCTTGGAACACTATCGTTACATTATTTTGGTACTTATTTCTTGGTTTTATATAACATCTTTCTACTAGACATTTCAACATACTTATTGGGAAGTATAAGGAAATAAGGGAGAGAAAAGGAGGAAGAAAGGATTGCTTGGTGGCAATAGCCCAAGAGTAACTAGAGCTAGAAATCAGTGCTATTTCTTCAGCAAATTGTTATTTGATGATATAATAGGGACTATGGGGCTGTTTGAGGTTTAATTCTGTTTTTGAATAATACAAGCTGCGAATGAATCACTATGTTTAGGGCCATGGAAATCTTTGTCTTCACAGCTTACCTACCTGACTTTTGAAGCAGTGTTGATTCTTTCTTTCATTTTAAACTTTAGGCCTAATATATTAATTTTAACCCATCCCTTAGCTAGTTTTGCACTTTCAGTGGAACCCCTTTATAATCCTGCAGGCAGGACAATGGAGCGGCAACCATGTTAGCAGACTTAAACTCCGTGTAATTATTTTAAGGACTATGATTTGACCTCTGATATATCTAAAGTTATAAGAGATCTAGAAGCTGGGGGCGTTTGTTGTTGTTTTGTTGTTTTTGTAGGGGTTTTTTTAATCCTCACTTGAGGAGTGAGGATATTTTTTCCATTGATTTTTTAGAGAGAGTGGAAGGGAGAGGGAAGGGGGGGGTCGGAGAGAGAGATAGAAACATTAATGTGAGAGAGACACATTGATTGGTTGCCTCCCACATGTGCCCTGACCAGAGGTGGGTACTGGGCCTGCAACCCTGGCACGTGCTCTTGACCGGAATGAAACTCTCAACCCTCTGGTGCACAGGCCAACATTCTTAGCCATTGTGCCACACTGGCCGGGGCTAGAAGCTGTTTTATAATGGAATCCTGTGCATGTAGATTCACCAAACAAAGAAACAAGTTTTTAAGGTACTAGAAATAAGTAGCATCTCAAAGAAGCATCAGAGAGAGATGTTATATAGCAGAAATTTTTATCACTTGATTTGTTACATTTACATCAAACCCTATTATATATTTGCCTCTAGATTTTCTCTTTTAAATGTGCTGAGAATCTATAAGGAAAGAATGGCACTGCACTGAAATGTCTGGAAACTGGGTAACAAATACTGAAAGAGATTGTTATTTTTTGGTAGGCTAATTTCGTTCCCTTTTTACATTGAAGCTTTTGTTCGAAAAGATGCCTTGCCACTGGGAACCTTTTCCAAGTATACCTGGCATATCACTAATATCCTGCAAGTTAAACAAATCTTAGATACTCCTGAGGTAAGAGTTTATTTCTACAATAGTGGGAGGGCAGAGAGAAGAGAGGGAAGCAAGTGTGGGAAGTGTGTTTCTACCAGCTCCTTGAGTTACAAGACACCAAAGAGAATTCTTTTTTTCATATTAAGAGATTATTCAGAAATATTCATGGCTTTATAATGCTGACTCTAATTTTAATGGGTATTCCCTAGAGCTTGAAAAAGTATCTTAAATTGGAGTCTTTTTTTCTTTGCATTTGGGATTAGAAAACAGGAATGATTTTTTTCTATAAATTAAATCATGATCTCCTACTAGCTATGGTGAGCCCTAGATTAACTGGCAGGCAGCTAAAAAATATATAAATAATTTGAGATGATATACTATTTGTGAAATTAGTGGGCCCCGCACAATTAAACACTCCTTCCCAAACTGCAATTTCGTTCTCATTAGAAAAATGACCCTTAGTTTGTGTTCTTTTTCAAGGGAAATATTAGATATTTTTAAACACTTTTTTCCAGCAGACCCTGAAAATTTGAGGATTTTCCCTCCTTACAATAATGGATTATTATAGAAGATTCAGTATAATGTGATTTGATGTGTTAAGAGGAGCTTAATTTCAAGACATTGTTATGTTCAGAAGAATAAATTGCTTGGTAGCTGTTATGTTCAGAAGAAGAATAAAAGGCCTATGTTAGCAATAAAGACATTTGAGGAACTTCCTTAAATGCAAGATATCAGAGGCACCTTCTAGCCTAGAACAAGTGATGTTTAGGGAGACACTGAGCAACCGAGAGCAAAGTCAAGTGAGGGAAAAGAGTTAATAATCATTGAGCTTCTATCTGTTGGGCGTTATTTACCTGTATCACCTCATTCATGTATTTTGCAGATGAGAAACAGGCTTTGAGAAGCTCACCCTGCTGTTTAGTGGCAAAGACAAAATTCAGTTCAAGTTCTGTCTGGCTCAGTCCCAAGGATGGTGTGAAGCACACAGGATGGTGAGGTCAGCTGTAGGTGCTATCAATAGAGTTTTTAGGAAAATGTTCTAGCAGAGAAGTAGGGGAAGGGAAAAAACCAATTTTAGAGCAGGTCTGTGCCAGTAGTGGTCATGTAGCCATGAAGATGTTTGGCTGGGGTTCAAATTAAAGTTATATAGATAAAAAGAAAGCCAAGCCATGAATGGTGTAAGGAATGCAAGGCAGATTTGTTGACAGAATTTAGTTGAAAATGCAAGGGGGAGAAAAAAGAGAATACAAGGGGAAGATTTAATTAATTTGAATGTCCTTAATAAGGAACAGTGAATACATTAAAGATCTATTCTCATCCAAGTGTTTGTCTACTTTGAAAGTTTTTCTTTCTCACCTTTCTTGGTATTGTCTCCATGTCCAGATGCCCTTGGAAATTACCCGAAGTTTTATCCAGAACAGGGATGGGACTTACGAGCTGTTTAAATGCCCTAAAGTGGAAGTAGAGAGCATAGCAGAAACCTACGGTCGTATAGAAAAGCAACCAGTGCTGCGGCCCTTGGAACTAAAAACTTTTCTCAAAGTTGGTAAGTGATTGGTGGTTTCAATAGTGCCTCTTCCTGTGAAGACAGCTATGTGCAAACATTATCCTAGATTTTGGATCTTGACCTTAAAAAAAGAAGGAACGTTTACTCATCTTGTAAAAGGTAATCATACGATAAGGTATTTTGCTTCATTTGAGCCAGGGCTTTAAAAATAAAATTATAGGAGTAATATAATCAGCTGCCTCCTGCATGCCCCCTACTGGGGATCAAGCCCGCAACCTAGGCATGTGCCCTGACTGAGAATTGGACCAGTGACCCTTTGGTGCATGGGACAATGCTCAACCAACTGAGCCACAACTGTAACCATTTTTAAGTTCTGTGACATTAAATACATTCACATTGTTGTGCAACCATCACCACCATCAATCTCCAGAACTTTTTCATCTTTCTCAACTGTAATTATACCCTTTAAACACTAACTGCCCACTCTGCCTCCTCCTAGCCCCTGGCAACCACCATTCTACTCTTTTTCTCTTTGAATTTGACTGTTCTAGGTACCTCATGTAAATAGAATCAGACAATATTTGTGTTTTTGTAACTGGCTTATTTCAGTTAGCATAATGTTGTCAACATCCATATGGTAGCAAATGTCAAAATTTCTTTCCTTTTTGTTTATCCATTCATCTGTTGATGGACACCTGGGTTGCTTCAACCTTTTGACTATTGTGAATACAACATTTTTAACAGCTGCATAAAATTCATTCATTAAAGTACCTCACACTAATCAGTCCTTTAAGTTGTTTCAGACATTTTGCTGGTGTTTTATTTAGGGTTTTTTATTATCTATTCATAGTGATAATTGCCTATAATTTTCTTTTTTGGAGGCTATATTTTTTTGGATTTTGGTAAAAGTTATATAGAAAATGATTTTGGAAAGTTTGGGGAAAAATTAAATAGTTAGGAGATATCCATTCCATAAATGTTTAAAAACATTATTTTCTGGACCTAACCCTTTCTTGCAGGTAATTCTCTAAAGTCTTTCAGCTTTTTCTGATTTACATTTATATTCATGGTTTGTTTATATCTTTTTTGGAATCAATTTTGATAGTTGATATTTTCCCCAGGGCTCATCTCTTTTGATCTCAAATTTAAATTATGTTGTGAAAATTAATAAATAATAACCTCATTTAAAATGGAGTCAGGAGGCTAGAGAGAGAATTCTTATGCACGTCACTCAATGCACACTACTGACCCCAAGAGGAAACGAGGTATTTTGCATCTTCAATAGACAGGAAGTGAAACTACTTTACTACTAAGCAGGAGGAAAAATAGATTCCTCCTTGCCCAGTAGCAGCTTAGTCAATGGAGATTGGAAAGGCAGCCAATGAAAAGTCATTATACTTTGAACTTTCAGTTTCCTCCAATGGATTCTTCATTTACAATAGCCCCTCTCAAGTCTTTCAAAGAGCAACCCTCTCCTTTATTTCTCTGGGCTTACTGTGGTACCCCATCTGACTGCAATTCTTTGTTATTTCCTAATAAACTCATTTTACTGGGAACTATCTGGCTGTCTACTTGTATATGGTCAACAGTGTACATTTTAATAATTTTTAGTGTAGATGATTATAACATAACTTTATTTATTTTATTATTATTTTTTAATCCTCACCCAAGGATATTTTTTCCATTGCTTTTTCAGAGAGAGTGGAAGAGAGAGAGAGAGAGAGAAAAAGAGAAAGAGAGAGAAAGAAACATCGATTGGTTGCTTCCCGCTCACAGGTGGACTGGGGCCAGGGATTGAGTCTGCAGCCTAGGTACATGCCCTTGGCCAGAATCGAACCTGGGACCCTTCAGTCCGTGGGCCGAAGCTCTAACCACTGAGCCAAACAGGCTAGGGCTATTTGTTTATTTTTATTATTATTATTATTTTTAATTTTTTTAAATATATCTTTATTGATTTCAGAGAGAGGAAAGGAGAAGGAGAGAAAGAGAGATAGAAACATCAATGATGAGAGAGTCATTGATCGAGCCCACAACGCGGGCATGTGCCCTGACCGAGAATCGAACCTTGATTGCCTGGATCCTAGGTCGACGCTCAACCGCTGAGCCATGCCCGGCCGGCTATTTGTTTATTTTTTAAGGAAATTTATTTCCTCACTTTTTTCCCAGACTTTATTGATTTTAGAGGGGGAGGAAGGGCGAAAGAGAGAGAGAGAAACATCGATGTGAAAGAAAGAGATACATTAATTGGTTGCTTCCTAGACATGCCCGACCAGAGATCAAACCTGCAACCTAGGCACATAACTTTTAAAATCTGTTCTAACTCTGAAGTTATACACTCTATCAGAATTTTGTCTGTTCTATGGTCTTTTTCAAAGAATTGGCTTTTGTGTTTATCCAGTTGTTCTAAATTTCTGTTTTGCCCAGCCAGCGTGGCTCAGTGGTTGAGTGTCAGCCAGTGTACTAGGAGATCACAGTTCAATTCCCAGTCGAGGCACATGCTGGGATTGCAGACTCAATCCCCAGTATGGAGCAGCCGATCAATGACTATCTTTCATCATTGATGTTTCTCTCTCTCTCTCTCCCTTTTCCTTCCTCTCTCTGAAATCAGTAAAGATATATTAAATGATGAGAGAGTCACTGATCGGCTGCCTCCTGCTTGCCCCCTACTGGGGATTGAGCCTGCAACCTGGGCATGTGCCCTGACCAGGAATTGAACTGGTATCTCCTGGATCCTAGATCAATGCTCAACCACTGAGCCATGCCCTGCTGGGCAATAAAGATATATTTTAAAAAGTTTCTCAACAAACTTTGCAGGCCAGAAGGGAGTGGCAAGAAATATTCAAAGTGATGAAAAGCAAGAACCTATAAGCAAGATTGCTCTACCCAGCAAAGCTATCATTTAGAACTGAAAGTCAGATAAAGAGCTTCACAGATAAGAAAAAGCTAAAGGAGTACATCACCACCAAACCAGTATTACCTGAAATGTTGAAGGGTCTTCTTTAAGAAGAAGCTAATGAACAAAATAATCTGAAAGACAAAATAGACCCAGAGACATTGAATCATGCAACAGACTGTTGTATCTCAGAGGGAAGAGGGAAGGGGGAGTGGGAAGATATTAACCAAAGAAGTTATATGCATATCTGTATAATCCATGGACACACAATAATGGGAGGGGGTGGGAGCAAAGTGGAGGGGGCCAATNGGGGTCAATGGGGGGGGGGAATGGGACACCTGTAACACATTCAACAATAAAGATAAAAAAAAACCCAAAACTCATAATTATACTTTCAAATAACAAAAATAAAATAAATAAAAATAAAAACTTATTTAAAAAAAGATTTAAATTTCTGTTTTAATTATATTCTGCCTTTTTAATTTCTATTTTTTTAGGAATTTAGAAATATTTTCTCTCTAACCTGCTATATGAATTTGTGTTAGCAAAGATGCTATTTATCTAATATAAAGTCTTACATAACTTTAAAATGAGTCATATAATTTTATTATTTAAGTCTTCATCTTCACTTATTGTCTCTTTGATCTACCAAAGACTGAAGGACATGAAACAATTTCTTATTACAATTATGTTTTTGTTTATCAATATATCTTGACTGGTTTCAGAGAAAGGAAGGGAGAGGGAGAGAGAGATAGAAACATCAGTGATGAGAGTCATTGATTGGCTGCCTTCTGCATGCCACCTCTGGGGACCAAGCCTGCAACCCAGGCGTGTTCCCTGACCAGGAATAGAACTGAGATCTCCTGGATCATAAGTCACTGCTCAACGGCTGAGCCTCGCCAGCCAGGCTACTATTATATATCTTTTTTAATGATATATTTCTAAAAGTCTTTGCTTTATTGTATTTAAATATTGTAATACAGTGTTTTTGGCACATCGATACAGGTGTCGTATTGACCTTAAAGTCAGATATTTCTCCAGCAAAATGGGTTTATTTGGCAACAGCAAAGGATTGTAGTTCATGACATGCAGCCTAATGGCAAACCATGTGCAAGTCCAGAGAACAAAGGGGAGGAACTGTTCTTTTACAGAGGAAAGGGGTTTGTTCAAAGAGGATTGTTGTAAACTAGAGTCTATTGGAGAAAACTGGGAGTTCGACATGTAATGTCTTTTCATTATCTGAACTGTAACAGTCTTTCATTGCCTGAGTGGTTGCCAGGTGTTAAGATCCTTCTTCGTGCTGGAGTAGTAGAATAGAAACACATCTTCCTGTTAGAGATGGAAAGTAGTCTTTTCCTGTTTGGGGTAATTGACAATGAGTGGTAAAGCCCTGAGAGCTCCCCCTTTAGGCTCTTCCAACTCCAGTTTAAATGAGGTTTCTTTTTATTAATCTTCACATTGTCAATGTAAATTGTATACTTAGTCCATACAGGCTGCTATAACAAAATGTCACAAATTGGGTGGCTTATAAACAACAGAAATTTATTTCTGATAGTTCTGGAGGCTGGGAAGTCCAAGATCAAGGCATTAGCCAGTTTGATGTCTGGTGAGGACTGACTTCCTGATTTATAGATGGCAATCTTTTCACTGTGTCCTCAACATGACAAAAGGGTGAAGGCTCTCTGTAGGGTCTCTTTTATAAGGGCACTCATTCTTCAGGGCTCCACGCTCATGACCTAATCACCTGCCAAAAGTCCCACCTCCAAATACCATCACATTGGGGATTAGGTTTTAAATTTTGGGAGTACACATTCAGTCTATGGCAATACTTTGTCAGTGTAAAAATAAATTTTGTCCTAAAATTTTTTGTCCAGTTTTACAACAGTGACACCAGTCTTCTTTTTTCATTTTTCTGTTTGCCATCCTTTTACTTTTAACTTTTTTTGTGACACTTTGTCTTAGTTGAATCTATTATCAATATTATATAGTTGGTTTTGATTTTTCTCCAATTTTAATAATTTATTCTCTTCATTATAATTGATATAGTTGGTCTTCTGTCTTCTTGTTTTGTTTTCTGGTTTGCTAAATGGACTATGTTTTCTGTGCTTAATTGTCTCCATAGTTTTGAAGATGTTACCACATTATTAAATTCTGCTGGTGTTTTATATTTCTTAAAAGCATTCTTTACTAAATTTTTCATGTTTAAGTCTTTGATCCTCTAATTTACTTTGATGTAAGGTATGTGATAAGATTCTGCCACCTTTTATTTTCTTCTAGTTATCTGCTTGATGCACACCACTTATAAGAAACACCTGCTTGTATTTCTTTTACTAAATGAAAATTTTGCCTTTACCTTATACTAAATGTCTATTCTATTTGTGTCCACTTTGGATCTTTCTGTGTTGTTCTTTTAATCTGTCTAGACATACGCCAGTACCACATTCTTTTGGTTATTAAGGATTTGTAATACATTTTAGAACCACATAGATTTTAATTCTATTTTCTTTTAGTTTTCTTGAAATGACCTTTATTTTTTCTTTTTTTAAAAATTGATTTGAAAGAGAGAGAAACATCCATGAGAGAGAAAAACATCAATCGGTCGCCTCCCGTATGCATCCTAATGGAATCAAACCCAAAACCTAGGTATGTGCCCTGACTGGAAATCAAACCCACAACCTTTTGGTGTACAGGACGACACTCCAACTAACTGAGTCACCCACCCAGGGTTGAAACTACCTTTTCTTTTTTTTGTTATTTTAAATATATCTTTATTGATTTCAGAGAGAGGAAGGGAGAAGGAGAGAGAGAGAGAGAAACATCAATGATGAGAGAGTCATTGATTGGCTGCCTCCTGCCCAACTGGGGATTGAGCCCGCAACCCGGGCATGTGCCCTGACTGGGAATCGAACGTGATCTCCTGGATCCTAGGTTGACACTCAACTGCTGAGCCACGCTCAGCCGGGCTGAAGCAACCTTTTCTTACTGGTCTTCCTTTTAATCTCATCTAGCTGTCTTTTCCTCTCAGTCTGGGCTCACGTTATGATTCTTTTGGTCCTGTTTTCATAAAGTCTGGGTCTTATTTTATACAAGGATGCCACACAGTTCCCTGAAATTTTTTTTTGGACAGATACAGCAGTATTTGCTTTTGCCTTCCCTTGGTTCTTATTGTTTTTCCCTGTTCTTTTTTTCTCATATAGTTTTCTTTTTTTAACTTCTTTTTCCTTTCCTTTTTTATTACTGAACAGAGCAAGATCTGTCCAGACTCAGATTTTGGAATTTTACTAATCAGTGTTCCTTTCTTGTTCTTTTCTTTTTTTTTTTTGTCTTCAGGCAACACTTCCCCAGATCAAAAGGAGCCAACCCCTTTCATCATCGAGTGGATCCCAGATATCCTTCCCCAATCCAAGATTGGTGAGCTGCGGATCAAGTTTGAGTACGGTCACCACCGGAACGGGCATGTGGCAGAGTACCAAGACCAGCGGCCCCCCTTGGACCAGCCCTTGGAACTGGCCCCTCTGACCACCATCACTTTCCCTTGAGACAAAACAAGAGTCTTTTGCTGCTAAATTTGCACATCCCCACCCCTTGACAACTTTAAATACTAGTTAGGTACTTAGATGGTCTGTTCCTTAGTGAACTGCTTTTAGCTAAGATGCAATTTCTTAACACATCCAAGTGAATTCTGTTGAAGAAAAACTCTCCTTGTAAATAGCCTTTTTGGTGCTGTGTATAGTCATTATAGATGGGGTGGTATTTCTGGCTAGAGTGTTTAAAGGAACAAAAAGAAAACCAGCTCATTTTCCATTTTAAAGGATTCACCTTTAGAGTTTGTTTCAACCTTTGAAGTAGTTAGCAAAACTCCACCTTACACTAACAATGTTGGAAAGTTAATAACACCCTTGTTAGGAAGAATGTTAAGGACCATCCTGGCAGAGTTCCAGTCATGCCCTTTTGTTCTATTATCAAATAAAGCACAGTGTCACTAATTTTTCCAAATTGTACCTCATGTTGGCCTGATTTTAAAATTATGAACCTTTTTCCCTAGCTGGTTTGGTTCAGTGATTAAAGCGTCAGCCTACAGACTGAAGGGTCCCAGGTTCGATTCTGGCCAAGGTCACTTACCTCAGTTGCAGGCTCAATCCCTGACGACAGGGCATGTGCAGGAGGCAACTAGTCAATGTGTCTCTCACATCGATGTTTCTCTCTCTCCCCCTACCCTTCCACTCTCTGAAAAGCAATGGAAAAAATATCCTCAGGTGACGGTTAAAAAATTAATTAAAATTATGAACCTTTTGGGGGAATTTAGGTGATGGTGAAATAGGAAAAATAGGTCCAGGTGTCAAGGGAGTATTGACAGGTCAAACTAATGCTTGTAATTGCTTATTCACTTGATACTTATTTCCTTCTTTATTCTCTAAAAAGTTTAACATCTGGTAAAATTCAATTCCTACTTCTGAGTTCATTGACCACAGAATGGAGACATGAAAGACAGAGAAGTAGAAGTCTATTTTCAAGGAGAAAAGGGAATGAACATTTTCCTATATGCCTACTATGTGCCAGGTACTTTTTTTTGCATTCCTACTTATTTTTCTCATTTAGTCTTCATTATTCTTTGAGTTTTAAGTATTATCCCTTCTTTTATAAAGTTAAAGGAACAGCTTCTCTGAGGTTAAGTATCGCTGGAAACAACATTATAAATAATGTTCTGTTTTACTTCAAAGTGCAGATTCTTTCCACTTTATTACATTGTTTTGTATAAATTCCTTATAATTCATTGACCTTGGGAAGACAAGAAAAATACATATGAAGTAGTCTCTTGGTTTTATTTTGATTGCAAGTAACAAAAATGCAACTCTCATCAGTTTAGGCAGAAATAGGAATGACTGATTAGTTCATAGACACTAAAAGAGGGCTGGACAACCAACTGAGTTAGAGCTGAGGTGTAGTTAGCCAGGCTCCATCTAATCCATCTCTGCTTTTGTGGAGCTTCTGGTAAGATTCTGGCTCCTAACATGCCTGGAGGTATGGCTTCCACATTAGAGCAGAACCTACTGCTGTACTCTCCCTGACCCAAAGGGCAAAAACTCCCAAGAAATGGAATTGGCCTTATTTGAGGGGGTGGGGTGTGTGTGTGTGTGTGTGTGTAGGGGCCTGAGCATTTTTGGTAAAGTGCAGAGCTATGCCCCTAAAAGCAAGATAGGTAGGCAAATTAACTTGTCTAGCCTGTATGAATGAGGGGCTAGCTTTGGTGGAGAGTTCCCAAGTGTTTTAAATATTGCAGGAAATCCTTCAGGAGAATCCAGGGAGGTCCACAGAGAACTCAGAACTTGCACTAGGCTTTAAAGAGAGGAGAGGTGGGTGGGTATGGAGAATAGGAGAAATTAAAACTAGGTGAGGCAGAGAGCAGTCAGTCCTGCCTAAAAACACGGTAGCTGGCCCATTCTGAGAAATCTTTCGGCCTGATAACTTTGAGGACATTGATCACAGCATTTTGACCAAGACAGACCTGTGAGTGACAGGCAAATGCCTGGGTCTAGCAATACTTGACTGACTCAGGAGAACCACAGGGGCCATAAAACACATGGCTAAGACAAATAATCCACCCAAAGATGCCCCCACCAAGTGCTAAGGTCTTCACCCAGGACCACCTCAGCCCATCAAAATCTGGAATGGGGTTCAGAATTACATTGGCCCTTTTTTCTAACTTGACACCCTTTCTAAGAAACCAGGAGTACCAGTAGGACCTCTGTATCCACTTCCAGTGTCCAGACACCTCTGGGACACCATCAGCAGTGACCTCATTTCAGACTCACCCCACACTCTACCAGAGTGGTCCTAGGTATTCCCACCAGAACAGTGCTCTTCAAACCCTGCACTCACATGCTTCCCAGCCCATATACACTCCCATGTGTACTATCCATTTGCACAACTCTTTCATTAGTCATTGGAATCTGCCATCTCTACATGCTGCCCATCTGCTGCCTTTCTACACTGCAGCCCCCATTTATATTCTGGAGTGAACAGCTCAAAATATCCCATGTCCCCACAGCCACCTGTCTACTGTACAGACTTATCATCCTCAGATTGAGTGTATTAAGGGGTCTGAGAAGGATGATGCCTTCACTGCTCCTCTAGGCAACATAGCTAGGCGCCTAACATTGTGGGCATTATGAGAACTTGCTGCTCCTCCACCCAGAACATTTTGGTTCTAACCTATCATGTTCCTGTGTCTTATCAGAACTGCTGTCATTTCAACAGCTTGGTAGTATTTAGAGGAGTGATAGACCACTAGGAGACCTCCAGAAAATCTGACTCCAAGAACTACCCACCTAAGCGAAGGTCTGTAGGCCTGCCACCTGGCTCTCTCGAGGTACCATATGTCATCAGCCCTATGCCTTCTGGGCCCAACAATTCCCAGTCACATAAGTCCACCCCATCTTTCACTGATTCCTGTTATGTCTGGGCTGCCAGTAACCTGCCCTTCCCTCCAGCCCACATGTGCATACACACACATCACACACACTCCAGCCCTCAGCCACTTCCAGATTGCAACCTGTGTATGTCATAGGAGAACCAGGCACTGACAAAACAGAAAGCACCCAGAACTTGCCCTCCACTAGAACTCAGGGAAGGCCCACTCTTATCTACTAAAGGAGAGGAAATAAGCAGAGGCTGCCTTCCTCTAGTCCTTTGAGTGAACTGGACCCTCTCAAGCATAAGTCACAGACAACACAAAAAAGTCAACCGCAGAGAACAGCCCTTGTATTTATTTTTTTGTGAATTTTCCCAACATGGACCTGCTTACCCTAGCCTATTTCTTTTTTCTTTTTTTGTCTCCCAGATTCTGATTTCCTGATTTTTCTCCTTTGAATCTTGTATTTTCTGATACTCCTTATTTGATATTCTTGTTAAACCTTTCAGACCTTGTTCCCTGTCTGCCTGCCCTCCCATCATACAGATCTGGAAGCTCCCTTCACATCTTTCTACTGTCCCACCTGCCTCACTAAGGGAGTAGAATGACTTGTTTTTACAAGTGCTTTAATGTGCATAGGAATCACCCAGGATCTAGACAGAATGCATATTCTGATTCAGAAGACTCTCCATCTGTATCAAGCTGGATGCAGAAAGTGCTGCACTGCAGAGCTGCTGCTGAACTAGACTGCACTTTGAGTAGTAAGAATGCCTAACCTGGTATTGTGACTTGCACCTTTCACTGCCACTAAGGGGGGCAGTGCTAAAGGTCAATGACAGCAAATAGTGGCCCTTACATATACCTAGGGCACTAAGTAGCACATAGCCATGTGTTTCAAGGCAGTGTGTTAGTGCGAGTTGCTTTATGGGATGCTCCCCCAAAGCTGCTCTTACTAATGGAGGCACTCGTCTTGCTCCCCAGATCTAGTTCCAGTTGGACAGCTTAGAAAGTGGGTATTGTAACCATATGCATTCCCAGTTTTTCCACCTTCTCCCCCAGCACATTTTCCACTGTTCTCCCCACACATCATCTTTTTAAAAAATAAATTTTAACACTTTTAATATATCTTTATTGATTTCAGAGAGAGGAAGGGAGAGGGAGAGAGAAACATCAGTGATGAGAGAGTAGTCATTAATTGGCTGCCTCCTACAGGCCCGGACTGGGGAATCCAGCCTGCAACCGGGCATGTGCCCTGACCAGCAATCGCAACTGCAGAGCCACCCGCCGGGCCCCACACACCATCTTAAGGTTCAGATTTTAAGCCCTGGGTTCACCCCCCCCCCCACACACACACACACACCCTCCACCATCTGCTTATTAACCCTCTGAAGCCGTTTTCTCACTTGGATCATGTAACTAGAACAGTGTGTCCTGTTAATAGCCATTACCCTTTCACCAATTGTTTGCACTTCTTCCTCTCTACCCTGTTTTTCTAACTTCGCCTCGAGGCTCTAACGGTGCTTTGTCCCTCCTTGAGAATTTTTGAACCTAATGCCACTTACACAACAAGATCACAATTTTAACGTAAAAAAAAAAGGCTGTAAGTGAACATGAAAGGGAGCGGTGCTGGCTGGTATTCATTTTCTACATTTCCCCAAATTTTGTATAATGAACACAATTTGATGTTTGGGAAAAGGCAAGGTTACAGCCACAAAGGAAGGGGCATAGAAATCAAGCTTCCGCACTCCACTGAAAGGAGGAAGAGAAAGACGCGGAGCGCCGCGGGAGGGAACTGGTCACGCGGCTGTCTCCCCTCGCCTCCGCGAGATGACGTCAGTCACGTTCTCTCGCCGGCGCCGCCGCCGCCGCTTCCGGCCGGTAAGACCGCTCTTCTTCCACCAGGCGGCGCCGCAAAACGTTCCGTTGCCTCGGCCTCCAGCGCAGCCGCACTGGTTCCCCAGGACACGTAACCACCTTCGCGTCTTTTCTGGAGAGCGCGGGAAGGCGAGTGCTAGAGGGTGGTGACGACACTGGGGTTCCCCGCGCGGCTCGCGGGGAGGGGCCGCGTACGTGGCGCACGCTCCGGG